TCTAGAGACTGTCATACGGTCAGAAAGAGAAAAACAAATATCGTATATTAACACATGTTATGTGGAACCTAGAAAAATGGTACAGATGAACCGGTTTGCAGGGCAGCAGTTGAGATACAGATGTAGAGAACAAACATATGGACACCAAGGGGGGAAAACCACGGTGGGTTGGGGATGGTGGTGTGCTGAATTAGACGATTGGGACTGACATGTATACACTGATGTGTATAAAATTGATGACTAATAAGAACCTGCAGTATTAAAAAACAAACAAACAAACAAAACAACTAATGCTAAACTTTCTTTGGGTAATTTATATGGAAATATGTTAATATAAATGTTTCAGACATTACATGAAATTTCTAAAAATCTTATATGTTCTGGTATAATGTTATAAGTCATAATTCTAGTTATTACTTTAAAATGTATATCTCAGAAATAACTAAATTTCCTTGTCAATTGCATTATTATGAACTTTCACCAAATCTTTAACCATGGTCATTTTTAAGTCTTTTGTCATTTACAGACAGTTCTGGGTGTACTCTGAAGCTTTTGCAAAAATGTTTCTATAAAAGGGTTTCATCTTCAAGGAATTCATGGAAAAGAGTCTGACAAGTACAGGTTTCTGGTAACTGACTATATTGCTGAACTGAATGAATAAGCATTTTCAGAACCCTAATGGAAAACTGATGAATTCATAAAAGTGCTAAGAAAAGATCAAGATGAAAAAGGAAATTAATTACATGGGACTGAGTGAACTGATGAGGATGATTATAATATTTGTGACTTTTTGTTTGAATAAAAAAAATAATAATCCCACAAGGACTCAGAGGCGAAAAATATACAAATCAATTTTCACTGCAAAGTAAAGGTGTTGTTACAGTGGAGGATTACTGGACTGAATGTCAATATTATGACATAGTATGAGTGTGTTTCATGTTTGGTAATTGCAATCATTGTTTTTGTTGTGGTCATCCATTTACAGTGCTTGGTGTCAGTTTATTTATCTCTTATAAAAAAATACAGTGTGTGTGTGAAAAAAATAAAATAAAATAAAAAGTCAAAAAAGATGGTTAAGATGATAAATTTTATGTTGTGTTTTTTTAACCACAATTTTAAAAAAAGAAATGAAATACCAAGGGCTGGAGAGAATGCAGAGTCACTGGAACATTGCTGGAATGTGAAATGGTAGAGCCACTTTGTAAAACAGTTTGGCAGTCTCTTACAAAGTTAAATATACACTTACATTTGATCCAGCAGTTCCACTACTAGGTGTTTACACAACAACTGAATGTGAATATCTTTACTCACAATTGTCAAAAGGTGGAAACAATCCAAATGCTCATCAAGTGATAAATGGATAAACCAATTATAGTAACTCCATACAATGGAATACTACTCAGCAATAAAAAGAGTCATTGCAACTGCAATGCAGTGGGTTGAATCACGCTCCCCAAAAAAGATTTGTTCAAGTCCTAACCCCAAGTACCCATGAATGTGACTTTATTTGGGAAGAGAATCTTTGCAGATGTAAACAAGTTAAGATGAGGTCATACTGGATTAGGGTGGGCCCTAAATCCAATGACTGGTGTCTTTATAAGAGAAGGAAGGGGGAGATTTGGACACAGACAAACAGGGAAGAAGGTCATATGGAATGGAGGCAGAGAGTAGAATGATAGAGCTACAAGCCAAGGGACACCAAGGACTGGAGGCAACCAAGAGAAGCTAGGAAGAGACGAGGAACGATTCTTCCCTAGAGTCCCCAGAGAGCATGGCCCTACGGACACCTTGATTTCACAATTCCAGCCTCAGAACTGTGAGAGAATAAATTTCTGCTGTTCAAAATGTAAGCCACCCAGTTTGTGGTACTTTGTTATGGCAGCTCTAGGAAACTCATACATGCCACAACATGGATGAGTCTCAAATGCAATTGCTAAGTGAAAGAAGAACTCTACTTCTGATTCTGTTTATAGGACACATTGGAAAAGGCAAAACTACATATCAGTGGTTCCAGAGGCTGGAGGCAGGGGATGGGAATAGATTACAAAGGGATATTAAGGGAACTTCTGGGGGATGATGAAACTGTTCTGTATCTTGATTGTGGTGGTAATTATACAACATAACCTGTAAATCTAAAAAAGGTCAATTGTATTGCATATAAAGTACACTTCAAAAATGTTTGCTTAAAAAAAATTTATGCTTCTGGGATTCCCTTTTTTTCTGTTTGACAAGAATCCTGGGAAGGAGCTCCTATTGGCCTAATCAGGGGTAATGTGAGGATCAAAATAACAATAATAGTTATAGATTATAAACCATGGAAAAAAATAAGAAATCACAGAACCACATATATAGAAAGAAAGAAAGAAATGTATAAATTGAAAGTTTGATGAGAATCAGGATAAAGTATCTACTCACAAAGTACCTATTAACTACAAAGGAGAAGAGTAGCTTCCGAGTGGAGAAGACTGACAGACACCACCTTAACTACGCGATAAAAGTGAACATCATGGAAGTGAAAAATCACCCACTTAATGGGATACAATAACAGAACCACCTTTGGCTATTCCTGCCAAAGATGCATAATCTGAATCCAATCATGAAGAAACATCAGACAAACCCCAACAGAGGGATATTCTAAAAAAAGAACTGGCCTGTGATCTTCAGAAGTGGCAAGGTCACAAAAGTCAAAAATAATTTCTTTAATGTCAAAAATAAAAGACTGAAAAATTGTTCTAGACTGAAGGAGACTAAAGACAATGTATGTGCTCTGAACTGGATCCTTTTGCTGTAGAGGACAGTAATGGGACATCTGGTGAAACCTGAATGGGGTCTCAGGACCAAATGGTAATAATGCATCACTGTTAATTTCCTGATTTTGATGGTTCTATTCAGGTTATGTAGAACAACGGCCTTGCTTGTAGGAAATACACGGTGAAGTAGTTTGGGTTGATAGGGCATTAGGTCAGCAACTTATTCTCAAGGGTAAAAATACAGTTATTTTTACTGTACATCCAACTTTTCTGTAAGTTTGTGATTGTTTCAAAGTTTAAAAATTACTCAGAGAAAGAATCCTGGGAAGCCCTGGGGCTGTCACTTCATCCCATTCCCCAATATACAAGGAAAAGGACACTATAGTACATTCTATATTCCTCTAAAGTTGACAGGAAAGTACCACAAAATCGGGATTTCAAACACAGCATATCTTGCCAAAGTTCTATCTTCTGAAGCATGAAATCCAGCATAAAGCAGAGATCTACTTTATTTGGATACTGAATGACCCAATGGCCAACATGTAAGATAGTTGGATCTACAGAGGTAGATTTCTAATATAGGCAGTATTACAGTGAGATTCCAAACTCATTAAAGACAAGATTCCAGTGTACTAAGGTACAAATATGTTCATATAGTACTTTTTCTAATCACATGACATTTAAGAGTTCCTATTAGCACTCCCAAATGGAAGTATCCATTTAAATAATATTTCTGCTTTACGGGACATCATCAAACAAGTGAACCAGATTTCACAACAAAGAAATTTAACACTGAATCTTAAATTGTATAATTAGAATGTCAGCCTCCTAATTATTCAAAGACTAGGATATCTAAATCCAATTCAGATCTTAAAAACAGTACCATATGCCACTATCTAAATCACCAATTCCACATTGTTTTGAACAAGGCTCTTCACTAATATGAATGATTAAAGCACCCTATGACACTGCACTAATCTAAATGCAATTTAGGGACTTCCCTGGTGGCGCAATGGTTAAGAATCCGCCTGCCAATGTAGGAGACAGGGGTTCGATCCCTGGTCTGGGAAGATCCCACATGCCACGGAGCAACTCAGCCCATGTGCCACAACTACTGAGCCTGAGCTCTAGAGCCTGCAAGCCACAACTACTGAGCCCATGCACCACGACTACTGAGCCCACATACTGCAACTACTGAAGCCCATGCATCTAGAACCTGTGCTCCACAACAAGAGAAGCCGCTGCAATGAGAAGACCACACACCTCGATGAAGAGTAGCCCCTGCTCACCACAACTAGAGAAAGCCCGCACGCAGCAACAAAGACCCAATACAGCCAAAAAAAAATTTTTTTTTAATTTAAAAATAAGCGCAGTATAGACCACTTATCTATGCTGTAGATTTATCCTGTCCAGCATGGTAGAAACTAGCCACATGAAGGTAGTGAAACATGGCTGGTACAAATTAGGATGTGCTTTAAGTGCAAAATACACACCAGATTTCAAAGACTTAATTTAAAAAAAAGAATGTGAAATATCTCATTAATGTTTTTTAATACTGATTCTATGTTTAAACAATAATATTTTGGATAGATTGGGTCAAATAATTATTTAAATCATTTAAATAATATTAAAATTAATTATACTGGTTTCTTTTTCTTTAATGTGGCTACTAGAAATGTTTAAATGACATATGTGACTCACATTATATTTCCAATGGACAGTGCTGCCTTAGACCATTTGTGAAATAACACTATCTTATGCTGCAGTAACTAGGAAAAAGAATAACAATGGACTTCCCAGAAGAACACTGAACTGTATCTAAGCCCAGTTTATCTTCAAGATCTAATCTTTTTTTTTTTAATTTATTTTTGGCTGCATTGGGTCTTCGTTGCTACACGCGGGCTTTTCTCTAGTTGTGGCGAGTGGGGGCTCCTCTTCGCTGCAGTGCACGGGCCCCTCATGGTGCTGGCCTCTCTTGCCGCGGAGCACAGGCTCTAAGCGTGCGGCCTTCAGTAGTTGTGGCTCATGGGCTCCACAGCGCAGGCTCAGCAGCTACGGCGTATGGACTCAGCTGCTCTGTGGCATGCGGGATCCTCCCGGACCAGGGCTCGAACCCGTGTCCCCTGCACTGGCAGGCGGACTCCCGACCACTGTGCCACCAGGGAAGCCAAGATCTAATCTTTTCAAGGAAAATTTTTGCTTCTCTTTTTACACTCCACTCAGCTCAAAGAAAGTGAGTATCTCAGGTACCTGAAACTCAGAGGCACTGCTCCGCAGCTGGCTCACATTGGGTAAGGATCCTCCATGGTACTGTGTAAGGCGCAGTTGCTGAAGCTTCTGAAATTGAACCTGGGAACAAAGACATTTCAAAGGTGTTGAGAGATGACAGCAAAGATTTGAAAGAAGCATCAAAGTATGGTGTTGTGTAGCGAAATGGTTCAAGAGTGAAAGTCTTGGCTTCAATTTCTTCTCTACTTAAAACCTTCAGGTTTCCAGTGCTTTCTGGGTTTTGATTAGTCTATTTTTGGAAAGAATTTACCCCTGTGCTAAATGTCTCAGCCACGACAGTGAGGTACTCTTGCACGGTCTTTGAGGGTATGTGTGTGGAGGCACAGCAACAAAAGAATTTCTTAAATAAAACGAAGCCACTGTCCATGACTCTAACACATTGACTACCTTCCCTTCTCCATGCCCTTTTCCAGTCTCCTTTTACATTTATGTGTAATAACTGCACAGTGGTGATCACAACATAGGTACAATCATGCATGCTTACATCATAACTCTTTTCTATGATATTACATAAGCATTTTTAATGGCTATATGACATTTCTTCTTCTGAATTATTTCCTTAGAACACACTGCAAAGAGTGATTACTAAGTCTCTGGGTTTGGGCCTTTTGATGGCTCTCTATACACACTGCCAAAATGTTTTCCCAGAGGGTATACCAATGTATATATGAGAAAACAGTTTGACCAAAAACTCACTAACACTGGATATTATCATTAATTGGGGAAAAGAAGGAGGTCAACTGAACAGGTATAAAATGGTATGTCCCACTGTTTTAATATGCTTTTCTTCTGTAAGTTCTTCCTTGCTTCATTTTTCAAAAGGCAGTAAACTGGTTACGGTTCTTGTAAACCCCAGAGTGGTCCAATTTGGTCTTCAAGAGTTCTGCTTCTAAAATAATAAATTACCTCTGTGTTTATGTAACCCTTGGCACTTGTAATTCATGTAGGGAAGAAAGGGTAGATAGGAACTCCGAGGCAGATTTTTACCCTTTCATTACTCTCTGTCTTTGTCTAATAATAATAAAAACTACCAGATACGAGCCCCTAAGATGAGCCAGATGCTGTCCTCAGACGCTCTCCCCACTTTATCCCTAACCCTCTCAGCAATCACCAAGGGAGACCACATGATCCTGCTTTTACGAACGTGGAGACCCAGACTCAGGGAAGTTCAGACACCTGCCCAAGGTCACACAGCTAGAGGAGGCTGAGCTATGGCTAACTCAAAACCCACATTCTTATTTCTGCCATGTACCTTTCCTTTGTTCCATTTCTCCCTCAATGATCATACTATTCACAAGCTCAGAGAAAAGTGAAGTTTGGTTGACCAAAAGCATCGCTGCACCTATGAAGCGCTCTGATTTTTTGTTTTTACATTTATTATGAAAATTTTCAAATATGTACAAAATAGAATCAAGTACTATGAAACCCCATCTCTTCATCTTCCAGCTCCAACAATGATCAACTTACATCCAATCTTGATTCATCCTTACCTCCTCCATCACCCACTGCACTCCACTAAAAGAAATCCAGGCATCCTAGCATTCCATATTTCAATATGCATCTCCAAAGATAAGGACTTGTATCTGTTTGGAAGTTTTAAAGGCATATAAAACCCTTTGGCAGCCTTAACTTCCTTATACCCACTGTACTTGATTTCTCAAACATACTGCACAGTAAAACTCTATTAATCAAAACCCAGATCTGAGAGCCAAATATGAGAAGGAAGCCATGGTGAGCTTTTCCCATCTATCAGCTAAGTTATAAAGTCTCAGCTTTTGATCTTGACATTCTCAACCAGAAGCATTTGACTCTCTATCCTTGAAAGTCTCTCGACAAAATTCTCAGCCGCCTTGATCTAAAGCCTTTGATTCCTTCTTGCATCAATCCATCCACTTAGTCACTTACATAAAAACGTTTAACTGTGTGTCAGGTACTGTGCCAGACGCTAGCTTACTAAGATGAATACGTGCCAAAGTTCCTACCTGCAGGGAGTTCTCACAAAGGCTTCAACTCTTACCCAAAAGCCTTGACACTTCAACCAAGCTAAGTTCTAAATCTAGCTAGAGATTTGCCTTCATCTGAGCTTGAGGCCCTCTTACGGTCGTCCATATCTGCTGTCGCTACCAAAATGCCCATTTCTAGAGTCTTCAGAGATGGTTGTGCTACAGTAAAATGAGCACTGGATTTGGAACGGGAAGACCTGACTTTGTAAACTGGAGCTCCCACGTGGTTTCGCAGATTATTCTGCTGCCTACTTCACAAAGACGGTGGAAGGATTAAAACAGAGAACAGACATGACAGTGGTGTGTAAAGTGTACAGGTCTGGACAACTGCTCAAAATATTATCATTATTGTTGATAACCTCAACTACCTCCTAAACCCTTGAGTAATTCTGACACTTTTCTCTTTTGAAATTTAGAGCCATTGAGCTAGAAAGAACCTTAGAGACTGTCTTCAATACCGTCATGCTTACTGATGAGGAAAATGAGGACAAAAGGATGATTAGCCTGAGGCAGAGGTCATGGACTGGCAGGCAATAGGACATGGTTAGCCTAGAAAGTTCTAGGCTCTCTATGTTTTAAATTTTTAAATTGCAAGAAGCCACAAACATCTGGATTTCCATCTTGTCTTCATTGAAAGATCTAATGACACTGAACCCATATTCTTCATGGCAACAGTGTGTGGAGCTGAGAAATGCCTGCCCCCTTAGACAGGGCTTGGGTTCTCCAGTTTGCCGGTGTCCTCACTGTACCGTTACTCCTCCACTATGGCCCAAGATTAGCTACCATTTACCATCTCATTCCTCGCCCCTCCACTCATTTTCCTGACCTGCCTCACCCAGTACCTTGAGTTAGCAACTTTTAGCCTATAGTCACACACTTTTAGTGGAATTTCCTCCAATGTCTATATGAAATGAGATCTAAGTCTCACTAATTCCTTTTTGAAAAAGTGTTGTAGTAGTCAACACAATCCCAGCAGGCCTTTTCACAGAAATTGATAATTCTAAAATCTGTAGATGTGCGAATGACCTAGAGTAGCCAAAGCAATTTTTAAGAACAGTAAAGGTGGAAGACTTAAGTTACCTCGTTTCCAGACTGACTATAAAGCTATCGTAATCCAGGCAATGTGCTGTTGTTCAAAAGAGAGATGGACAGATCAATAGAACAGGAAAGAGTCCAAAAATAGACTGATGTATACATGGCCAGTTGATTTTTGACAAAAGTGTCAGAGCAATTCAATGGAGAAAGAAAACTGTTTTCAACAAATGTGGCTGGTACAATTAGATATCCTAATGGGGGAGAAAAAGCAGTTGAGCATATAGACATTCAGTGTGACAACGATAATCAAACCCCAGCTCTGCCTCTTACCAGCCATGCAACCTTATGTCTCAAGTCTGTTTGCTCTCCCGCAAAATGAGGATCGCTCCAGATACACAGTCCACAGGGTTACTGTGAGAACTACATGAGATGATGAACGTAAAGTGATCAGCACAGTGGCTGGCAAAGAGATAACGCTCCATATTCAGCCCAAATCTAATCTTTCTAGTCTCCTCTATTCCTCTCTGAGGCCTCACTATGCCATAACATATCTATTGTTTGTTTTAGTATAAAAGTAATAGTTTTTCCCAAATATTCCAGCAAAATTAACACTCCAGGTTGATGTGCTATTGATCGTGTGGTTTCTCCACACTACCAGTTGTCCTTCAAAGCCAAACTTCTTGAACAAGTTCCCAACCCTGTCCCACTTCCTCCATTCAAGGCCTCAGTGCCTCACAACCTCCCTTCCACCCAGCACACTGTGGACGCGGTGGCTCCCACCAAGGTTACCAACGACCTCCACATGACGGGACCAAAGAACGAGTCCTTATCACATCAGACCAACTCAGCAGCACGGGGCTCAGCTGGTCCACATCGCCTCCTCTTAACCATAATCCTCCTGGCTCTCCTCCTACCTCTCTGGTTGCTCTTCAGTCTTCTCTGCTGTCTCCTCCTCCTCTACCTCCCCTTTAAATGGTGGAGCTCCTTGGGCTTCTCCTAGGCCCTTTCCATGTTTCACTCTATGTATAGCAGGGGTTACAAACTCAAAAGCTTACGGGTGCCAAGTATGGAAGATAAGTAAGCAAAGCAGCCTAGAATCACTGTGAGGAAACCATAGGGAGTGACGGGGACTGTGGCAAACTGAAGGACACACCGTGCCCTGTCTAAGGGGGGCAGCGGCTATTCAACTCCAGGCAATCGCTGCCATGCGGAAATGTAGGGTAAGTGTTGTTAGATGATCTCTTTTTTCAAAAGAAGCCAGAGTCCAGATTTTAATGTAAAATTATAATATTCACTGTTGGCCCTAATTGAAAAAACCAAACAAAACAAAAACATCAGAGGGCCAAATTAGAATTTAGGCCACCAATTTCTAAGATCTTTTCTAGAAATTCTTCCTAGGCAGCAGAATCTACTCCTGCTGCTACACACCAAAGATTCCCACTAGCCTAGACTTCTCTCCTGAGCTCCAGGACCATATATACAACTATCTGCTGGCCCATCTCTACTTAAATGCCTCACAGGCACCTCAAACTCAGCATCTCCTGACACTGAGTCAGCTCCCGCCTTGCTCCTGCCAGCGCTCCCTCTCTTAGCAGAGGATACCCTGAAATGGCTCAAGTCCGAAAGCTGGGGATCATCCTTGAGTCCTCCCTCTCCCTCACCTCCCTCATCCATTCACCAAGTCTGGTCCTTTCTACTTCCTAAGTATCAATCTGTTCACCTCTCTGCCTCCCTGTTGCTACCACCCTTGCCAATGCCACCATCACATCTCCTAGACTCCAAAGCATTTCCCTGCTACCTCCTCCTCCAATCTATCCTACATTCTGGAGTTAGAGGCATTCTTTCAAAATGCAAATCTCCCCTGGTTCAACCCCTTCAATGACTTTCCATTGTCCTTAGGATCAAGTCCCAAATCCCCATGAATGCCTCATCTCAAATTACCCTCCTCATCCCCTTGCTGAACCTCGGTCCCCTGTGCCTAAAACACTCTCCCCTCCCTCAACACACGAGCATATACCCTCACATGCCTTCCCCACTCCTACTAACCCTTTACGCCACTAGAAGAGGTGAGGACTCCCTACCATACACCCAACTGTTCCCCTTTCGTACTATTCATCAAAATGTGTCCTGACTTGTCAAATGAATGTCTTCCCCATTAAACCCTAAAATCTATGATGAGACACTACTATATCCCCAGTGTCCATCCGAACCCCCAGCACGCACTAGAGACTCAAAAAGTATTTGCTAGACAAATTAATAAGATCTTTGAAACAAGGTACCACGTCTTCACCTCCCCCCACCCCTACACCCCCACTGGGGACTCAAGTACCAACAAATTAATGAATGAACAAAGGAACAGCCTCTTTCCAGGCATATCTGCCTCCACTTTTTTCCCTCTCCTTATCATCCCAGGTACCACCATTGAACTGATCCTCCTAGCATTCTCTTCTCAAAAATTTTCCATTGCTTCCAGGTAAGGCTGCACCCCTAAAGCTAGAGTGAAAAATTCTCCATAATCTAATGTATCCCACCAACTAAACAAATAGGATTTAACTCCAACTCTGAAGGACTGACTCTGATTATATGGAGAAAAAGTCGAAGCCCAACAGACTCAGAAAGGAAAGAGTACCTAGATTGATTAGCGATGTCTGTTCCATTTATAAGCATGCCCACCATGGGCTAGTAATGGAAAATCAGTATGTCTGCCATCTGGTTATCAATAATGAACTGGATAGATTCTTCTCCAGCTGAGATCTTTGGACCCTTGGAACATACGCTTGAGGATCTACGAGTTCTCTACAAGAAGTGTTTCAGTTTTATAATTTCATTATGAAAGTTACCCTTAAAATTTTAAATAAGCAAACATTACTAGGCAAATTCAGTGTTATCGTTTGCCTTTGTGTGTATGAACACAGTGGAGCCAAGCAGTATTTATTATTTTACTTGCAATTGGTAGAGAGTAGAAAAGAACACAGGCAGAATTAACGTGTAAATAATGCCCTGTACAAGGTGAAGGACAAAATGACATCATAATTTTACAGCAATTAGAATAGAGAAAAGTGGTGGCTGAATTGAGTTATTATATGGGGTAGAGTTGATCAGGCTTGCTAAACTCAAGAGAATCTGAGCTACAGGGTTTAGCACTATCTATATATATTTCTTCTCATCATGATAGAAATGTAAGTACAAGAGATATTTCACTTTCTCCTTAACCTCGCTAAAAGAAAACACCATCAAAAATATGATAAATGGCAAGTGACACCTAGCCTCAGGAGTGGGGGACATGGCAGGCTGTGGGGTGAACTGTGGCCAACCAGAGAATACATGCTCCATTTGAGGGGGCAGCCATCACCCAGCTCCAGCCAGCTAGCTGTCACATGGGAAATCAGGATGAGTGTTATCGGGTCTCCCAATTTTAAATGTATATAAGTATATATATTCAAAATAGAGAAAAAGAACGAAATTTTGATTGTACATTAAAATCTCCAACTTTGATTTCTATGAAAAATCTCCCAATTCTGGCGACAGATTCCAGAAGTTTTCCCAAGCACCAATGGCCAAAAAATATAGCGTCTACAGCTCAGCAAGCCAGGGACCACCAGTTTGTGACTCGGCTCTCAATTCTCCTTCAGGCTGCCCACAACCCCGCCCCCGCTTCTGTACATCCTCCCCCATCCTCCTGATGGTCCTTCAAGGTCAGCATTCAGGATCCTCAAGGCCTGCCTGCCCCGCTCACGCTGACCCCCGTTCTCTGCAGTTCTGCGCGGACACTCCTGTTGGCTCTCCATCCTCCACTGCCTCCCTCGACAGTTACCTAACCTCGCCGAGTGTCCAAGCTGGCGCCTTATTCCTCCTGGACCCTCCTCCATCACCAGCAACGCTGTGATGAACCATCGGGGCTGAAGTCAGTAAACCGGACCGATACAGCACCTCCATGGAGGAAGAGTAGCGAAGCCCCACACTCGACATGGAATCACATCTCGATACCCAGACAGACCCCAAACCAGCCCGGGGCCGGCCCTGGATTCACTGGTGCGCGGAGATCTCCCGAAGTAGCGGGTGGGTGCCTCGGGCCCTCCACAACGAGCAGTCCGGGAGGACTCGCGGGCGGTGGATGTTCGGAGCAGTGAGAAGCCGCACCGCCCGCCTCCGAGCTGTTTGTGATTTCCTCCCCGGACTCCCAGTCACCCTCCCCCTTAGGCCGCCCTCACTCGGCGGCCCGCCTTCCCGGGCTCGGCCCCTTCCCATCTCCCCGTACACACTGCCCCGCGACCCTCCCACCTCCGCGGCGACAGCAAACCGCCAGCGGGTGTCGGAAAGCAGGCAAGCGCCGAGGCCGCGGCCGCGCCCGCCCCGCTCCCGGGTTCCACTCCGCGGGCGCGACTCCGCCTGGCCCAGCCATCGCCTCGGCCCCGCGACCTCTCACCCGCCGCGCGGGGCCCGCCCGCGGCTGTGACCGCCCACCCGCGCCGGCCCGGGCCCTCACCCGCGACAGGGTGAGGTCGGTCATGAGCTGCTCGAAGGCCCGCGTCTCCTCGGCCTGCCGCTGCGTGTGCAGCGCGATCTTCTCACTGAACTTCCGCGGGTTGGCGCTGCCCGAGCCCGGCGAGGCGGCCATGGCGCGGGCCCGGCGCCGGCAGGAGGGGGAGACGGCGGGCGCGGGACCTGCGCCTCGGCCCACGCGTCCGTCCGCAGGCCGCCCCGGCCGCCGCCCGAAGCCAGTCCTCCGGCGCAACCCGGCAGAGGAGCCGCCGCGGCCCCACCGCCAGCGAGCGGCCGGGAGCGCGCCGAGGTCCGCCCCCGCGCGCCCGGCCCCGCCCTCGGCGCGGCGCGCCAGCCGCCCGGCCCCGACCCGGCTAGGCGCCAGCCACCGGAGGGCTTTCCCCGGCGTCCCGAGCCGGGCTCGCGACACGCCACGCAGACACTGAGGAAACCCCGTCAGCAGAGCAAAACGCATCCGACGTGAGGGAGCAGCTAGGGTACCATTTTTCCAAAACGCTCCCTCGTAGGGACGTCCTGGCCTTTGGATTTACGTTACAATTTTAGAACAGCTTTAACATCCTTCTCGCCCGGCTTCCCTCCAGTTATGCTGATTTCCTTCAGGGGGTGAAAACGGGGTGACCTACGCTTGAGCAATCCTCTCCCTCAGGTTCCCACACTCTGGGGCCTAACGTCTGCCCTCCGTCCTCCGCCTCCCAGCCCGCTTCCTCCCTCGATTTGTGTCGCTGACAGTCCGCTCAGGCCCACCCAAGAAAAAAGTTACTAAATCTGGATCTCAGTTTCTAAAACCATCTCCCGAGTTGCCCGAACTTGAGCCGTGGGCACCCTCCTCGCTCCTCGGCCCCGGCCCTTTTTCCAGGCTCTTTCTGAGCATCCGTGGCCTCTGCAGACTCCAGCTCCAGTCAGACGTCAACTCCCCGTTTATAACTAGCTTCTCAGCCTCAACCGTTTTCTCCCTCTTCTGCTGCCCAGGAGCTCCTCTCCGTATAGATGTGGTTGTGTGTAAAGATGTCCCGGACGGCTCTGAGAGTGTGTCTGCGTTTTGTAAATTAGGAACTATTAGGGACACGCAGAAGAGTGCAGAAAATGATGTTAGCGACACCTACGCCCACCACTATCAAGATTAAATGTATCAAAACATTTTGCTTCAGTTACTTGGTATTTATTAAAGAAATAGAAAATTAGACAGAGGTAAAACCCGACCCTTATTCTTTCTCCTTCCTCCCTAGAGATTGTCACCGGGCTCAAGTTGGTACATATCACTCACATTCATGTTTTTACACTTTTACTACATACGATGTATGGCTCCACCAACTGCATATGAAATACCAAATTTGGCTTTAAAATTTACAAAAACAACATCATGCTGAATAACCTTTTGCAACCTTTTTCATTTACTATTGTTTTTGAAATTCATTTGCATTGATTCATTTAATTATTGTGTAGTATTTCATTGTAGTTTTCATATGTCTCAGATTTTTTTTAGAAAATTTAATATGAGAACATATCTCTATTAGCTAGAGGTTAGCTTGTTTTATTAAGTATAATTGGATTTATTTCTTCTGTTTTATTTTGTGCCATCTACCATGCTTTTTCTTTATATTTTATTTTCTGCTTTCCTGTTACATTGGGTTCAGTTTCAGAGAACAGAATTCATTCTAGATAGTTTAAGTATAAAAGGGTATAGGGTATAAAATGGCTTAAGGACTTGTTTGGAGGGCTGAGGAAGCAGACTACAGGTTGAAAGGTTCAGAAATGACCTTGAGAGACATGCTGCAGAACCAGGCCACCAAAAGAGCCACTGCCTCTTCTAAAATCTGGAAGCCACCTACTGAATTGGAGAACTGTCACTACACTTGCCACCTCCTGAACCATATGAGAAGAAGCCACTGTAGAAAAATCTGACAGTCCTCACCAATAGAAACAGCACATACAGAGTTTCAGCTTCACTGCCACCTTACAAATCCAATAAGAGAGAAAACTGGCTTGGAAGTGCCAAAATTGCATCCAGAATTCTAGCTGCAATAACATCTAGAAAATGTAGCCTTTCAGCTTCTGAAATATAGGTAGGCACAGGAGGACACTGGAATGGGTGTTGAGCTAAATCCTCCATTTTCATCCACCAATTCACCAATGCAAGGATCTATCATATCGAATTCTATTGCACTGAATGACTGTTTTTTATTTCCATGTTTCCGTTATCTAATTTGGAAGATAGTCATCCTACTTCTATTATTATGGTTAATCTAATCTTTTTCTATTTAATTTTTTAATCAAATAAATACATGTGGATTTTTTTAACAATTGTTTTACAAGGCATACAATTTTAAAAAGTAACGCCCAATCCCACTGTAATAAGTTTTTCCTGCTGTTTTGTGATTATTTTTCAGTTTTAGATGTTGACTATTCATTTTCTATTATGGGAAAGGATGCTTTGGCTCTTTTGTGCCCCCAACAAAAATATGATTTTCTCTGCTCCCATTCTTTCAATGTAGTTATATGATAATTCTTGGTAAGTCAATATTAAGTGTTTACACAGTGTACTATAGTTCCATTTTTATACAACTTTTCTGAGTTAAAAACTGCCTTTGTTTTTTATTTGCTTAGATTTCTCTCAACTCATTAGAAATGCTTTCCCAAACTCTGATTTATAGTATTTGGATTTTCAGCCCTGTCCCTCCACTCTTCTGGTGCCTCTGGTCTTCTTTCTAAAAAGTTCCCAGAACTGTGAAAGACATTACTGAACCCATGAATGATCAGTTTTGGGGGGAACTTCTCTCCTAGAGCACTTTGCCTTCCTGCTCCATCCTGGACTGGTTGCTCTCCAGGCCTGCTGCACTGCTATCTGCTGGCTGACCTCACCATCATCCTGAGGGCTCCCTTCATCTCCTGTCTTCTGACCTCTGCCTCCTGTGTCTCAAGTCCTCTTGCTCCGTGTACTGCTTCATGTTAGTGGAGGACATTCTCCAATAGTTTCCTGAGAAAGAAAGAATACATAAAAGATAAAATCCTTGAGAATTTGTGTGTATGCAGATGTTTTTATTTTTCCCTCAGACTTAATTGATATTTTGGCTAAGAATAGTCTTCTTCATCGGAAATCCTTTTCATTTAGTTCTTTGAATGCATTGCTTCACTGTTTTCTCACGTCCAGTCTTGCTATTGGGAAGGCCACTCACATTCTGTTTCCCTTTCCTTTGTAGATGACCTGTTTTTTGGTTTTTTTTTTTTTTTGAGGGCTGTTATTCTTTATTTATTTTCATTCCCCCCAACCCCCAATCTCTAAAGCCTTCGTGTTCTGATATTTTATGATGCCGTGCCTTGGTGTGAGGATTTTGTTGTTTGTTGTTCATTGCACTGGCATTAGGTATGTGTGTGGAACCTGGACACTCATGCCCTTTAGTTCTGGGAAATTGTCTTACCTTTTTGATAATTTTCTTCTCTTTATTTTCTTTATGTTCTTTCTTTCTGGAAATTCTGTTGGTCAGTTAATGGATCTCCTAGATTGCTCTTCTAATTTTCTCATCTTTTCTCTCCTATTTTCTATTTCTGTCTTTTGTTGTTGTTGTTCTATTTCCTGATAAATTTTCTCAACTTTGTCTTTAACCCTTCTGTTAAACTTTTATTTCTGTTAGTGTATTTTTAATTTCTGAATGCTCTTTCCTGATTTCTGAAATTTAAAAAAATAGCATCCTGTACTCATTTCATGGGTGTGCTATTAATTATAGGTTATTTCTGTTTTTACATTTTCTTCTACTCCTTGTATTGTCTGTCTCTGTTTTGTCTGAGTTTATTTTTCAGTTTGTTCATTTTGGTCTCCATCTAGAGGCTTTCCTCAAACCTCTGGTGATCCTGACTCCATTCATAATTAAGATAGAGACACTAAATATGTATAGATTCCTTGTTTCTGGAAATTAAAATGTTTTTAAATAAATATTTTTATATATTCTGTAGCAGAGATTGCTGATTGTCTCCCAATATTCATTCTTCTCTCCTTCCTTTTTTAAAAGAAAAACTGAGCTTTAGCTGGGTGCTTCACTGCCCAGCGAAAGTCAGCTAAAGACTACATTTCCCATTCTCCCTTGCAGCTAGGTATGGTCATGTGACTGTGTTCCACCCAACAGATGTTAGCAGAAGAAATATAGGCAACTTTGGGATCATGCCCTTAAATGTAAAGGAGAATGGCCTTTTTCCTCTTCTTCTCACTGGCTGGAATATGGATGTGGTAACTAGATCAAGAGCAGCTATCTTAGACCATTAGGTGAAAACTATGTGTTGAGAATGACAGAACGATGGTAGCAAAGGCACCTGGGTTCCCAGCCCTGGGGAACCACAATGTTAGCTCTAAACTGCTTCTAGACTATAACATCACTGAGAGATAACCATTGGTTTTGTTTAAAGCCCTGTTATTTTGGCTTTTGTTACAGCAACCAAACCAGTACCTGTTATACTTAAATAGAAAAAATTTTGTAAACATATCAAGATATGGTTAACAACAGTTGTCTTTGGGGATGTAGGGACTACTGGGAAACTTACCTTCCACTTTACACATTTCTAAATTATATGCAATTCTAAAGACAAGTATGTATTACTAGTAAAATCAGAAAAAAGTACAAATATCAATAATTTTTATTTTTTAAAATTTATTTATCTATTTATTTTTGGCTGCTTTGGGTCTTCATTGCTGCACATGGGCTTTTTCTAGGTGCGGCAAGTGGGGGCCACTCTTTATTGCAGTGTGCGGGCTTCTCACTGTGGTGGCTTCTCTTGTTGCGGATGATGGGCTCCAGGTGCGTGGGCTTCAGTAGTTGTGGCATGTTGGCTCAGTAGTTGTGGCTTGCAGGCTCTAGAGCACAGGCTCAGCAGCTGTGGTGCACGGGCTTGGTTGCTCCGTGGCATGTGGGATCTTCCCAGACCAGGGCATGAACCCATGTCCCCTGCATTGGCAGGCGGATTCTTAACCACTTCACCACCAGGGAAGTCCCTGGGGAGTTTTTTAAATTTGTTTTGTTTTTTCTCTTGGGCAGGTCAGTTTCTCCCGCCTAAAGAATCTTCCAGTTGACTATCCAGGAGTATAAGTAAACTGCTGGCATTCTGAGAGTCATGTGGGAAAAAAAAAAGAGCTAAGGGTCTCACTATTTGATGTGTTGACTTGCTGTTACTATCTCTCTTTTCAGACAGCACCTCACTCTAGCTTTTTCTTTGCCTCACCCTGAGTCCAGAACATCTCTGGCTCTGCTTCCCCAGAGTTAACCTCCTGTCTACACTCCTGGTGGAAAGGAGTCATCAGGTTGCTTTGA